CGCCCGGCGGTGGGGCGGGCTGGAGGGCGCTGCGCCCCGGGCCGGGCCTCCCGGCTGCCCCGAGGAGCCGTGCCGTGTCCCGCCGGTGGCTTTCGGCTTCCCCGGGAGGGCTGTGAGTGTTTGCGCCGGAGCGCAGCGCTCCTCCTTCGCAAGTCCCGAGTCGGGGCCAGACAGGCTTAGGGCATTACCTCCTAATGCCAGTTGGCAAAAGGTTGTTATTTACCTCCTGGTTACGGATATTTGGGGCTTCAAAATTACGAGGTTGCGCTTTTTTTTTTTTTTAAAGGAACCTACAGGGTTGCCTATTCAAAATACCGAAAACATTTCGTGTGTATTTTCTTTTTGTTTAATCTGACTCAACTGAGCGCAACTACTTAAAAGTAGTAGAAAAATGTTTGTTTGATGTAAAAGTTTTGGGTAGGTGAGGGTCTAGAAAGGTACGTGTTCATCAGACCACTTACAATGTATTTTCTCCTGCTTCTTAGTATAAATATCATCCCCAGATGAAGGATGTGGCATCATCCAGCATTTTTGTTTTTCCTCCTTGTGTGGCTTAGGATGGGGTGTCCTGGCACTGGGATGACTAAGCACTGTTTCACCTGGTGTTATCCCGTGCAGTGTTTCTGGGTGTTTATCCTCAACATATACAGCTGCAATTTTAAAGGTTACATTTTAAGAAGGTTTCAAGCAAGTGTAGGCAGCTGCTCCGGTTGTTGAACCAGCTAGGGTGTTAACGTTGTATTCCTTTGTTTTTGGATGCGTGATGTTTCTCAGTTGTGCTTTTGTGATGACAAGAAATGCCTCAGCCTGAGATGCCTGTCTTCCCCACCCGAGGCCAAGCTCTAGGTGGGGAGCTGTTGGCTCCTCTAAACACAGCTCATCTGTGCTTCCAGCATACCTAGTAGATAAATAGGTTTGGGACGCTTCTAAAATTCAGTAATAGCCACTTAGCTTTGAAATTGTCATGGTTTAACCCCAGCTGGCAACTAAGTACCACACAGCTGCTTGCTCACTCCCCCCTGGTGGGTTGGGGGAGAGAACTGGAAGAGTAAAAGTGAGAAAACTTGTGGGTTGAGATAAAGACAGTTTAATAGGTAAAGCAAAAGCCACGCATGCAAGCAAAGCAAGGAATTTATTCACCACTTCCCATCAGCAGGCAGGTGTTCAGCCATCTCCAGGAAAGCAGGGCTCCATCACACGTATCAGTTACTTGGAAGACAAATGCCATCACTCCAAATGTCCCCTCATTCCTTCTTCCCCCAGCTTTCTATGCTAAGCATGGCGTCCTATGGTCTGGAATATCCCTTTGGTCAGTTGGGGTCAGCTGTCCCAGCTGTGTCCCCTGTGCACCCCCAGCCTCTTCACTGGTGGGGTGGTGTGAGAAGCAGAAAAGACTTTGACACTGTGTAAGCAAGCACTGCTCAGCAGTAAGGAAAACATGAGTGTGTTATCAACAGTGTTTTCAGCACAAATCCGAGACATAGCCCCATACCAGCTACTGTGAAGAAAATTAACTCTATCCCAGCCAAAACCAGCACAGAAATCATGACTTCTAAAGGAGGCAGAAGCAAGTTTGTATTCTTTCTTGTGCTCTTTCCTTGTCCCTACACACCTTGTAGCTGGATGCCTCTTGCACTCTTAGGAAGTGGGAGCTGTGGGATTGAATTCCCATTAGGCTAAGGAAGGTGCTGAGCCCAGCCTCTCCTCTTTTCTGAGTGCTTTACCCCATTGGTTATCAGATGAGATAATACTCGTCCTCTAGACCTATTTTAAAAGTGAACCTTGTGTCCTATCCATTTATCTTCAGGGAAGGGCTCCAGGCTCTGGAGGCACATGCCTACGGGTCCTGATTTGGGTGTGTTTTGGAAGGGAATAGGGTTCAGATTTGTGCCTAAGCGATTAGGTGTAGGTGGTGTTCTTGGGGTTGCGTTCTGGAGACCACGTGTCCAATTAATTTCACAGTCTGGCCCTAAATCTGTTGAGACTGCCCTGCAGAGGGAGAAATGTGAGTGGGTGGAAAACTGGGTTGATTAGTTTATCAATTGGAACAAGAAATGTGATTATCCTTATCTTATACAGAAGAAGTACAAATAATACTTGGTCATGAACATTTCCATTTTTATTATCCAGCCACGCAATTAATCTGTGTGAAGTACAGCAGCACTGGATTTTACTGATGATTATGCACCATGTGCAGACATTTTTTCTTGCTTGTAAATACCTTTTGTTTTTACCTGCACATTCCTTTTAACACTGATTTTCTTGAATATTAGTAGGTTTTCACAATAAAGTCTAAACTTCACTGTTAGATATACATATACACAATGGATTTATGGCAGTACTTTTTCCTAAATCCTAATCGTTTCAATGAAAGTAGCTGTTTAAATTATTTTTACTGTATTTGGGCAGGATGTGCTACAGTGCCATGTGGGATTCTTTATATACTGATTCATACACTGTTTAAATCTTTAAAAATCTGGATTCTTTAAAAGATTAGTATCAGGATTGCATTTTTAAGTTTCCATGGCAAAAAACACATGTTTGTGTTGGACTGCTTTTTAATAGCATTTTTATGTAACTAATTGCATCTTGGCATGTTACAGGGTAAACTAATGATGCTGCTTCAAGTCCACCAGAGTCAACAAGTATACAGAAGTATATTGATTCACTGTACATAGGAAGGTCTGTCTATACAACCAAAAGGATTAAAAACTTCTCTTAAATAACTGTTAGATAAAGTCCAAACTCTTTCCCCTTCATGTTTTTATGCTTATGGCAGCCTAATGTAAAGTTGCAATTGTCACAGAACTACAAAACCAGTTGCTATAATTTTTAGATGATAAAAATTATCGATGATTTAAGTTCCAAGTATAGTGATGTAGTATGTGCATATCTTTCATATATAGAGAAATTAAAATATCTGGTTCTGAATGCTGTAATTCTCCCCCTCCCCCAAGTGACCAACCATTAGAAAAATGCATTAAATCATGGAAATCTGTAGTCAACTACTAACCATCACATATAAGCTGTAGGGGTTAGAAGAGATAAATTGATATTTTGAAAAAACATAGCCATACATCAGGCTGGATATGAATATTACTTATACAACAGTCCTATGTAGCAAGATTGAGACTACCTTTTGTGATGTATGGCATGACACTTCTGGAAGAGCTGAATATTTTTAAGGATACTAGAGTAATAGGTGAAAGTAATGTCAATTTAAGAATTCATGGTTCTTAATGAGTGCATTATCAGAAGCACCTCTGGAAGCAGATGTAACTCTGCTAATCTTATGTCTCGTATTGCAGTGTGCACAAGGGTGATCTGCCAAAATGGCAAAAGGAGTGGAAAGCTTAAAACCAGTAAATGACAGTAACCCTATTCTTTACCCATGTGGCTCTGTTTATGCACAGGTAGATCTGTGCAAACAGATCTCCCTAAGCCAGAGTGGAGCTGAGCAAGGTTTTTCTGGTAGTATCAGGATCTGCTTCTTTCTTCCAGTTACTTTCCTGATCTGGAGGAAGTTGCCCCCAAAAGCCCTCTGTGTTTCTTTTAGATTTGCAAAGCTACTCTTTCTTAAGCAAGAACACAGACTCTTTTAATCCTGTAGTTAGTTATATATTAAAAATAGAAAGCCCAATGTTGATTATATAAAATGCAGATTGTTTTGTTTATGGATGAATTAATTTAACATGCTCCTGGAAATGGCATGCAGGATTCTGATCTCACACTGGTGCAAAGTCAGGAGTCATTCCCCTTCAGCCAGTGAAATTAAATAGGCATAAAACTGCTTTGCATAAGATGAATAAGGAAACCCTTTAGCATCATTTATATAGTGTATTTACTCAGTAGTAACAGAATTTTAGTGTCGTGATTGGACCAGTGCATATTATGAATTTGTGTGCAAATACCACCACATTGTTGAGGTTTCTTGGAAGGCAGCATGACAGTTTTTATTTTAACAGGCAGGGGCAGGCTTTTGATTGCATGCTGCCCCTTTTTGCATCATCAGACTAAGGGAAAAATAACTGTTGAAATAATTCGCCTGATCCAGTTAAACTGAGCTTGGGATGCCTGCCGGAAAGAGGTGATGAAGATAGATGTGCCACCTGTTTTGTCCACCAGTCCCAGGGACGGCTGGTTGCCAAACCAGTCCCCAGAGTAGCTTAAAGTGTTCTCAGAGCTGCTCTAAGCACAGTGATTTCTGGCTGGCTCGTAAGGCTGCGGTGGCACTCTGGATACAGCCTCTTCCCGCAGAAGTGTCTTTTGTGCCCAGAGCTGTGAGACGAAAGGCGTTGACCTGGCTACTTTGGCTCTCCACAGTCCCAGGATGCCTTTTAAAGCAGGGAATCCTTAGCTGGCTCGTTAAGGGAGTTTGAGGGTCTTTTCACACAGGCACCACACAGCTGAGAGGCTGGCGTTGAGCCAGAGACCCTCCTTGGTGGAGTAGGCTGGTGTTACTGAGAACAGAATGAGGTCTCTGACCTGTTCCGATAACATCATTTCCATGTTTCTAAGGATGCCAACACTTAATTTGACTTGGTGGCACTGCAGTTCTCTAGCAGTATGGTATAACATATAGTATAGTATAACATGCAGTCAAAGGGCCAATTCTCCTTTCATTCACACTGGGAAATTCCTCTTACATGTGTGAGGGTGCAGCAAAGGTGAAAATGCAAAATCTTATCATAGCAGAGAGGAGGATTCTGAACTCACATGGTGCAGGAGGATGGGTGGGTAGAGAGGGACATGACAGAGCAGAGCAAAGTTACCAAGCAGGAACGTATTGCAAGAAGTCAATGTGCTGCTGCTCTTGGCATAGGTGAGCCAGCAGGAAAAATGGGTTACATGGATTGTCCCCAGGCAGAGAATGGGAAAGTCACAGAGGTACAAATCGGAGCATAATATTCTTGTAGATGAGGCATAAGTAAATGGCACCGTTTTTTTAAGACAGAATTGCTCAGGGAAACTGGTAGACAGACTGCATAGCAGCAATACTAAATGTTTTTTCTCCCCTGTCCCCCCTCCTGCTCCATGGTGTAAAAGAGGAACGGTTCAGCTGGTTGCAGAGGAACCTGAATTCAGCAGCATGGGCAGGAGGACATGCTGTCTAAGTGCTGCCAATGCAGGATGCAGCATAGTGCTGTGCCATTAGTACTGCTGGTAGCATGGGGCTCTTCAGTCAAGGCTTGATGTACTAATCTTTAATCATAACATGTTAGCCTCCAATTTTATCTCTCGTTGGTCAGGAGTATGTATCTATTGTTTTGATGAACTATCAGTGCTGACAGGGAGTCACTTTTTTTTCCTCAGTTGCAGTTTGTTTGCTTTTTGGGTACTGTTTGTTTTATTGAGCAAATTCCTGGCTAAAAATCCAATAGAAGGCAAAGGATAATTAAAGACAATGGTGGCTTCATTTTGTGATGAATGAATTCAGGAAGGAGAAGCAGGGAGACATATTAAAATATGCTTGTATAAAAAAACTCCGTAATGTTTTGAAATAACATAAAAACACTGCTGCAAAAGGATTAAGCCTGTAGATTTCAAAGTACTCTAAGTTTATTCAGTTGTAAATAAAAAGGATTTA